TGTACTATTATTTGTCTTTTTCATTTTTAACCATGGCGTTGTCAGTTTATTTTCGATTTATTAGTTTGACTGTTCCTCTGGTATCTTTCGCCCCTCTTGATTACTATTTTAGATAAAGATAAACTGTAGTCAGCTAAAATGTTCAGCAGCGTAAGATCTTTAAATAAGTCAAAATATCTAAAAGTGTTTATTGACCCCTGGAAGAGTAATTTACCTTTAAAAACAATTCTACACAATTTGTTCATCATGCATGTTAATTTTAAAACATCATCTCTATAAATGCTGAACCAATTTCAACCTAATTTAAATAGAATTATCCTTATGATAAATAGTATAAAGTTTGTGTTTTATTAAGATATTCATAAAAAAACATGGCTGCCGTGGCTGGCAATAGAACATAGGAGTAAAATGCAGTTTTCCGCTTATATCTCAAATCTGATCGTTTATTCCCGATTGTCCAATTTTTGATTTTTTAGAGTTCAGATTGTCCCACATAAAAAGTTCTGATTTTCCCACATTATTTTATGAAGAAAAACGTTCGTAAAAAACAAGGTAGCTATTGTTTGTTTTGCTATATAAACAAGAATTAATAATTGCATGCTTTAACTATTCAAATTTTATAAAAGTATAAAACATGTTTTTTTTGTGTAAATCATTAGATTAATGCTATTTTTATTAAAGGATATAGCGTTTATGAATTATGAAATATGTCTACAATGTTACGTTTATTTATAAACCAAATGTCAATACTGCTGTTATATAAATATTTTTTTCTAAAGTATTTTTAAAATAAATTTACAAAAAATGCATGCAATTAAAAACAGTATAAACTTATTTACACTGTACACTATACACACACTTGTTGTCGTAGAGAAGCTTTTAGGCTTTTACAAGGGAATTCAGATGCCATTTACCAAAGATTGCATTCACCACTGAAGACTGATTTCACCAATAGTCAGATTCACCTGTAACCAACATCTTGCTTCATTGGTAACAAAGCTGCTGTCCAGAATTCAGCCAGTTCAAGGAATTACTATTAAGGTGTAATACCACCATTGTTTTACCCCTATTAGTCTTTGTTAAATTTGCATTTTTCCAAAAAATGTGCAGAATTTATCTTTGTATCAAATAAAGAAATACTTAGCATGAGTAAAGTTGTATCCTGTCCAATATTATATAAAAAAAAAATCACATTACATTTCAATGCATATAAGAAAATAACCATCACTGGAATTTAACCAATCAAATTTTCCCCCTTATTTAACCTGTGTACAAGCTTTAGTAACCATGTAACCTTAAGTTTCCAAAATATTCTATAGAAACCCAAAATAAAAAAATCATGGCGCTTTGAAATACCCAAGATACATATGTTTATGACACAGAAATGTTTTACTGCAATAAAACATAGGATTAATTACCTACAACTGTCAAATTCAAGGGAATATTTTTTTTCGACCTATTTTCGTATGCAACCGGATGTGACGTACCATTATGTGGTGGTATTACACATGTTACACCTTAAAGGTTTTTTGTTTACTTTACACAGTGTATTTGGCGTGAAGTGCAATCAACAGGACTCGTGACCGACTATAAAGGAGAACTAGACATTCATAAACTTATATATAGAACATATTTTTTTTCTGATACCACATGCTTGAATAGAAGACGCCTGATTCCATGCACTAGAAGACCTGAAGAATTTGGATTCAACAGCAAACACAACTTCGTTTATGGACCACATCACAAGATACTGGATTTAGGGCAACATGCACTAGGGAACCAATACCAAACCGAAGGATCAATGACGACAAACCACCTCAAAGGATGGCACAGCAGCTTAAAAATGGTGATCTAAGTACCACAACCAAACATATACACGCTTAAATGTGACCATCATTGAGTACCCAGCTGGGGGAGTTCAGCCAAAAAATAGAAAAAAACACACACAACTCTATCTACCTACATAAGAACTCTAAGGGTATTTTTAGATTAAGGAGTTATTGTGTTTCTCAGTATGCTAACGCATTGCCTCTTATTTGTAACACTTGTACTAAATGTGTTACAATTAGATGATGTGTTTTGATGTTTATGTTATGTATTATGTGTGCTTTATTGTTGTACTTACGTATTGTATGTGCTTTTTTATTGAACTTATGTATTATGTGTCTATTGATGTTCCTTCTGCATTGTGTGTGCTCTATATTATCTGCCCTCCAAATCATATAGGTGCATTAATGAATTATACTGTTTTTTATGTGGGCTTTCTTGTATTAAGCGTGTTAAGTATGTTTGCTTATTTGTAACCCTTTATTATACATTTCTGAAGAATTGCGTAGTGCTTCATATAAGTTATGTTTAACTTTATATTATATTATATTCTTTATTTGAAGATACTTCAATTGTACCTTTTCTGTGAAATAAAATATGTATTCATGATTATTTGTTCCTTTTTATTTCATATTTTATAATTTACACTGATAATTACCTCAAATGCCTGCTACACACTTTAAAAACAAATTAATCATTATCACAACTATTCCCGATTGTCCTACATTAAAGCTCCCCAATAGTCCAACAAACATATTCCCGACTGTCGCACATAATATCATTACCTTTTTACCTGTAATTTCAAAAAGTGGGACAATCGAGAAGACATCAATCTGACAAGGTGTTAAAGTGTTCATTAGGTCAAGTTCTATCTGATACACTTGGCGTCGGTCGATCGTCGTCTTCTGTTAACTTTTACAAAAATCAATTCCTCAGGAACTAATGGGCCATAATCGTATTTGGGACTCTTATTTAAAAAGTGTGTCCAATGAATCTGCCTGGCAACCAACATGGCCGCCATTGTTTAAAATAGAACAAAGGGGTAAAATGCAAGTTTTGTCTAATATTTTGAAAATCGTAATGGATAGAGAAAATTTGACAAGGGCACAAATGCACAGAATGTTGAACTCTAACAATTGTCCTAATATGTAAAAACAATCAGTCAACTTCTTTTAGGAATTATTGCCCTTCAATGTCAAATTTTATAATATTTTTTTAAATTTAGCTCACCTGGTCCATAGGTCAAGTGGGCATTTCCCATCACTTAGCGTCCTTCGTCCGTCGTCATCCGTCATCGTCCGTTAACATTACAAAAATTTTCTGCTCTAAAACAACTGGGCTAAATTTAACCAAACTTGGTCACAATCATCATTAGGATATTTAGTTTAAAATTTGTGTCCGCCTGCCAAATAACATGGCCAACATTTCTACAAATAGATCATAAAGAGTGAAATGCAGTTTTTGGCTTATACTTAGAGCAAATCGCACACGGGCTTAATATGTGCATCAGGTTTATATCTATCTATCAGACGAATCAGTCAACCTGTTGTTAGGTTGCTGACCCTGAATATTCATCAAAGTAAGTTCTACAAATTTTCAAAATGATCAAAAGTGTCAATTGACCCCTTAAGAAGTAATGACCCTTTATAGTAAATTTTTAACAAAGATTGATAGATTGTTGTCTGTTTTACATCTAGTGTCAAATATTTCATGCATGTTGAGGATAATATATATTTACAAAAGGGCTATTGGTTAAAAAGATAGAGAGGAAACTTTCTAAATTTGTGAGATATCAAGTTGAGAGATGACTGCATTGTATTTTAAGTTTGTATTCATGCTTCGACAAAACAAAGAAATTCAAGGAGAAATGTGAATATTTGTTTATTATCTAAAGAAATCACATTAATTGATTCTTCATTTGGTTTTACCAAATCTTAACAATGTTTGATGTTTGCGTTTAAACCAGGGAGCTTGACTAAGGTATCATTTATTAATGTTCGAAAACAAGGATAATGTGTTAGGAATTATTGAAAAATATTAACACCAAAATGATGACTAAGATAGAATGATTTGGTAATTTTACATTTGAATGGAGAAAAGGCTACGTAAAATCAATTTCCAATTTTGCATATGCATCATCTATTACTGTACAATTATCTAAAAAAAACCTACTTGATCAGTTGTGCAATTAGTGTGCAATTAGTTCTAGCATTGTTATTTGTACATTGTATGGTAGTTTTATATAAACAGTTTTTGAATAGCAGTTAAAATAAATATACAAAAAGTATGTAAAAGCTTGCTCATTTTAGAGCAAACTTTTCTGAGAATGTGCCACGAATTGATTTTCCAATTGCTACATCACATTTTGTAGGAACATCACATTTCTTGCATTTGGAAAAGATAAATGATGACTCTAATCAAATTTATGTTAACTGTACAAACAGACAGAAACTCACACAAATACTCAGATCAAATACAAATATTATCACTTGTAAATGACTAAACATTTCTTGTGCTAGATATCATATATATATTAAGTTTATTTGTCATGTCTTTTTTTTACAAAAGCCAACGTACCACCACTAACAAACAGACCAGGATTCCAGACACTGGTTACATTAGTTTCTATGGTTTATCTTACAGGAGCCACAGTACCACAGCTAACAAACAGACCAGGATTCCAGACACTGGTTACATTAGTTTCTATGGTTTATCTTACAGGAGCCACAGTACCACAGCTAACAAACAGACCAGGATTCCAGACACTGGTTACATTAGTTTCTATGGTTTATCCTACAGGAGCCACAGTACCACAGCTAACAAACAGACCAGGATTCCAGACACTGGTTACATTAGTTTCTATGGTTTATCTTACAGGAGCCACAGTACCACAGCTAACAAACAGACCAGGATTCCAGACACTGGTTACATTAGTTTCTATGGTTTATCTTACAGGAGCCACAGTACCACAGCTAACAAACAGACCAGGATTCCAGACACTGGTTACATTAGTTTCTATGGTTTATCCTACAGGAGCCACAGTACCACAGCTAACAAACAGACCAGGATTCCAGACACTGGTTACATTAGTTTCTATGGTTTATCTTACAGGAGCCACAGTACCACAGCTAACAAACAGACCTGGATTCCAGACACTGGTTACATTAGTTTCTATGGTTAAAGCTGTACAGATTTCAGATACAGAACCAGAGAGCCATGATGCCAGTTTAGCAGCAGACTTATATAGGCTACAGTCTTGGTATAAAAAGATCATTAAAATGTCGTCAATGGATTCAGATAAATATCAACAATTTGTTCAAACAGTAATGGTAGTAAGTTATTTTCAGAAGTTTACACTTTCTATACGCTATCCATTAACTTTGATATGTTTGTCTGCACGGTCAATTTAAATCTGATTAAACAATAATCTTGTTAAGAATCTTCATAAAGATACCTCATTTGTACCATGTGAACAAAAGGACTGTAAAAGGAATATTGATTGTGCTTTGTCATTTTCAGTTTCTCATACCTGTCAACTGACTTGTATTCTGCCAGGTATACCCATGAGATTCTGCTTTCACACGGGATTTTCTAAATACCAGACAGTAATTAAAATTCAAATTCAAATTCGTGATTTCAGAAAAAAAAAATTACCCGTTTTCACCTGTATTTCTGACCAATATTGTTTCCGGTATTTAGAAGTCAAATATACGTTCTGTAGTATAAAGGAAATACCCTGACTTCTTTCTTTCATTCTTTCTGCTGTGTATAGGAGTACATTAGCTATCATTGGCTTATAATGAGATGTGGGGTTCATGACATTCGTTTATAAAATGAAGTGTGAATAAAACAACAAGAGGGCTTTGTTTAGAAAAGATATTTAATGATAAACATGTATGTAATTACAAAAGTAAATATGTGTAGGAAACTAAATGGTACATGTCAATGTTACAGTACAACGTTTATGGGTCATCGTAAATCCCCGTTCTCTATTTTATGATATTATAAATAACTCGGGTTGTCCTTTCACTTTTCGCAGGAATCGTTTTTCTCGTGCTTGAGACGTGAGGTCTAGACCAGATATTTAAACCTCGTGTGGAAAATATTTCCTAAGATTTGGTAAAACTTGCGTACTGGCAAGTTGTACTTTGAATTTCATTTTATTCGTCATTTTAACTATAGATTTTATGATTTAGCCAGCCATCGGGTTTATAAAGTGATAGTGTACATTTTGATAGCGATATGGATGAAAATTGTTAAATTAATTAAAAGTGTACGGAAATATCTAAAATTCTATTAGATTGCCAAACTATCCTTCGAAAATGTATTGAAATTCTAGGATTAAATTTTATATGAACATATCACGATATTTGTGCATTTTATTGTCTTTGCCTAGTAAATATGGAACTGTTTTATGAATCTTGAATATTTGTTATATGAGCAAGTCAATGTTTGGCACAATCGTCATTTCTTGTCATTTCTTGGTTTTTGACACCTGTCTTAATTTTAATTGATTGGTTCGTGATATTGGTTGATCCTTTCTTTGTATTGTCAAGTATGCTGTCTTAAGATCTGGAGCGAAAGCACAGACCGAACCCTCTCTACCAGTAACGTAAACGGATGAGCTACATGTAGCGGGGTATACTGTTATGAGAAAACTATGAAAGAAACATTCGTGTACACATAGAGTAACTTGTGGTCGTTACAATAGTAAATAAAAAAACCCCTCTAAATTGAACCGAAAGTTCGTACACGTTACAGGCGTGATGACCTGCCAATTTCGTCTACGGTGCCTTTTCAGTTTCAGATGGTATGGTTTCTTTTGTTAAGAGATGTGAGACTACAAAGACAATTCGAATCAATGAAGAAAATTAAGATATGTTTTCTGTGTTTTTAATATAGGCTAAATTGCACATGGCAGGTAATGCAATGATTTAAACTCACATTTTACATTTTGAAAGCATTATTTGTATTCAGCCTCTTTGAAATTGTAATAATTTTCTTCAGTGCAATGCAGTGCAGGGGGGGCATAGAAATACCAGGCGACAATTAAAGAAGAGTTATGGACTTTGCATTTTTGATACAGTTAAATAAACACAAGATAAGATGACGGGATTAGTGCTCTCATGTTTGGAATAGAAATTTATTCTTTATAATCAATTGCATGTTTACTTTGATTTGTTAACAGGTATTGGAAAGAATTAATCAAAAGAACGATCCATGTGTAAAAGAAACAATACTAAGCACTGTGATTCAAAAACAGGTCCAAAGGATGCTTGATAGTTTGAAAGGTAATCTTAGTGATATGAATTCAAATAGCTGAAGAACATTTGTTATCTCTTCGAAGTACATGACGAAAGACAAAGTAAAAAAGGTACTATGAAGGGAGTAGTCACGAAACAAAGGCTAAAACAATAAGAGCAATAACAGCAACCGTCCAAAAAAAAATTGAAGTTATCTGCAGGAGAAATTCTTTCTTCTTCATTATTGCATTTGACACTCTATATCTCTCAGTATTATTTAAAAAAGAATCAATTTGTCATTTATTGAATACACAATATTTTTAAGGGGCATGACATATGTCTTTTAGAAATACCCATTTCAAGTTTTACTTATTCAATCAATAGTTTGTTTTTGCAGACAAAATCACATGGCCTGAATGATAGATATCTGCTGTGTATGACTTCATCTGTTGCAGTTTCTACAGTTTTGACAAATTTGGAAACAAGTTCAAATGAGATATCACACTAACATAAAAAGATTTCTGATTCCCTTAAAGGGTGAAAATCAGTTGTTGTTATCCAATATAAAGAACAATAATTGGCAGTAACAATATACAAATGTGGTATGATTGCCTATTAGATAACTATTCACAATAGTTAGTATAGGGGAAAATCACTTCCCCTACAAATTAAATATGTATATGTAATCAATTCATGAACATATGCATATATTCATTATTGTTTCTCCTTGAGATGTGATGATGATAAACTGTAAGTCAAGACTAACAATGTTAGAAAAGTCGATATCTTTAAAACAAATTACCATGCGATATCTAACTACTCAAGAGACTCAAAACAAACATGGCATATACATATCAAGGTTTATTCAGTGTCAACACGATGTACAGTGAAACTGAAAAAAATGCGCCGTTAGCGCTTTTAATTGTATAATTCTTGCAAGATGTTTATGTATCTTATATCATAGGTTTAAATTACAATGCCTGGAATGAGCACGAAAATTAGTGTCGATCAAGTTAAAAAAAAGAGTTATGCCCCTTGCAAACATAAATTATATGGAAAATTGCATTATTAGTGTTTTCATGTGTCGAATTCTTTCCAGATTTTTATGAAACTTATCAGAGGCCTATATCAGCAATTCCTTTGACCTGTTCAAAAATATGTGATGAACAACTTTTTAAAAAAGATTTATGTCCCTTGGAAACATCAATCATATGGGAAATTGCATTATTGCGCTCTCATACGTTCAATTCTTACCAGATGTTTATGACAATTATATCATAGGTTTATATTACCATATCTTTCACGAGTTAAAATATTAGTGACGAGCAAATATTTTTTTAAGAGTTTTGTATCTTGGAGACATGTATTGTATGGGAAATTGCATTGTAAACGCTCTCATGAGTACAAACGTAAAGCAAAGGTTTGTATTTGCTATGTCTTTAAAAAGTTAAAAAAAAAAGCAATGCCAATCAAAAATTTGTTATAGAGTTATACCCCTTGTAAATATTGATTTTATTGTGAATTGCCTTAGAGCTGTTAGGTGTATTATTCCTGTCAGATTGTTTTAAAATCTTTATTATATATATATTATCAATATGTGTAGAGAGTTGAACACTCAGTGCGGATTATTTGTTCAAAAACGAGTTATGCCCCTCGGAAATAATTATTATATGAAAAATTGTTTTGTGAGCATTCTATGGCATGGTATTGATTGCAAAAATTTGATTTTTTTCATTTAAATGCAATATTTTTATTTTAATTGGTATATTTCTTCATTTAAATGCAATATTTTTTTATTTGAATGGTATAATTTGTCATTCAAATGCATTTTTTTTTATTTGAATGGTATATTTTTTCATTTAAATGCAATATTTTTTCATTTGATGCAATATTTTTTCGTTTAAATGCAATATTTTTTATTCAAATGGTTTAATTTGTCATTCAAATGCAATATTTTTTATTCAATTGGTAAAGTAGTTTTTTATTTATATGCAATAATTGCATTATGGGAAATTCTTTGACGTCATAAGGTCAAATTTGCAACAACGTTTGTGATTGGTCTGTAATTGTTTGGATTTCTCCCCTTTCTTTCTAAACATGAGTGACCAAGAATTAACAAACGCGTCAGAATATCGCCTCTCTAACTAAATCTGGCGTTCGTGCGAGTTCTGCACTGGCTGTTAAAATCTTCTGGTCCTAACTATTATTTCTATTTCAAAATTTCGATGGTCAAAACGTTCGGACCACCACTTTTCAAAAACTTTCATTATTTATGGATCTATATGCATGTATAACGTTTTTTTAAATAGATGAGACACCGTTGATTTTTCCCGTTTAAATGGTTTTACACTGGTCATTTTTGGGGGGCCCTTTATATCTTGTTGTTCGGTGTAAGCAAAGACTACGTGTTGAAGACCGTACTTTGACCCATAATGGTTTACATGTACAAATTATGACTTGGATGGAGAGTTGTCTCATTGGCACTCATACCACATCTTCTTATATCTATATACAACGTAAATCAGACGTTCCTCAGACTGTTTTCTTTTTTTATAATTTCTTTGTCGCGCGTTGTGTACTGAGGGATACTTCAGTCTGGGAGAACAAGATTTATTTCAGTACTAGTTGTAATGAGCTATGAGCAAACTTCCAGTAATTGCAAATACTCTAATGTCGGTGCTTTGTGTCTATTGTCTAAATATTAGGGTTTTTTTGTGTATCTCCTACCGATCTTTGGAGTTAATCTAATTGCAACTGATAAGTGCAGGTTGTTCTTTTATTGGACGGTTACACCACTGTCAGAGCTTCGGAATGGGTTGAGTGCTCACAAATATGTTGTTGTACTGTTACACTACTGTCCCAGGTTTGGGGAGGATTGGGATCCCGCTAACATGTTTAACCCCGCCTCATTCTGTATGTATGTGCTTGTCCCAAGTCAGGAGCCTGTAATTCAGTGGTTGCCATTTGTCGCTGTGATATACATTTTTGTGTTTCGTTCATTTTATTGTACATTAAATCGGCCGTTAGTTTTCTCGTTTTGCATTGTTTTACATTTGTGATTTCGGGGCCTTTTATAGCTGACTATGCGGTGTAGGCTTTGCTTATTGTCGAAGGCCGTACGGTGATTTATAACTGTTGATTTCTGTGTAATTTGGAGAGTTGTCTTATATGCAATCATACCACATCTTCGTTTTTATATTAACCCTGCCATATTCTTTATTTGCCTGTCCCAGGTCAGGAGCCTGTAGTTTAGTGGTTGTCGTTGGTTCATGTCTCGACTCATATTTGATATTTTGTAAATTGTTTTCTTATGTATAATTAGGCCTTTAGTTTTTCGTTTAAATTGTTCACACTTTTCATGTCGGGCTTTTTAAAGACGACTTTACAGTAATAGGTTTTTGTCATTGTTGAAGGCATTACGATTGTCTATAATTGCTTACTTCCACTTCATATTTGAACTACGGTGGATAGTTACCTTATTAGCAATCATATCCCATCTCTTCGTTTTTATATTATATACCTGACTTCTAAACTCGTGTTTTCCTGAACAAGCATGAAATATTTGTCACTGGGCGTTAAAAATTAGCATCAAACAATCAATCAATTTAAACTTGTGTTAAATAAGAGGAAAACCATTTGATATTTACTTATTTGTTGGGGTGGGGGACAGAAGGATTTCATATATGAATATGGTTGCCTGGTATAAGAACTGAAAAAAAGGCATGATTAGCGACAGATTAAAATGAATAATAATGCCCTCTCTTCCGTTCTCCATCCTTCGTCTATAAATTAAAGTGACCACCACGGTATAGCCCAATAGTGTTGAAAGTAGCGTTAAACACCAATCAATCAAAATCCCATCCCTAGAATATCAAATAATAGTCCCTTAACTGTTATTGTCCGTGTAGTTCTTACATTTATTCATCTTATCGTCCTACAGGGATGTCCTACTAATACCATAAAAACGTTTATACACAGCTCACATTCTAATATATCTGCATTCATAAATTTATTAATGTCATTTAGACTAAACGACGCCATATTTGTTATGTGCCTCTGCCGTCTAAACAACCTATAAAAAAAGAAGAGATGGAAGAGAGCCAGTAGATCTTCCCAATGCAAAAAAACAGAAATGGACTTCTTCTGGCTCACTACCGAAGAACAAACAAATGCGCCCTATTAATATGTTTTAAAAACGCCTTGCCCCTACCCTTTTTTCCAAAAAATTTGGCATTGTTAAATATATATACATATATATAATCATCATTAAAATGTTATTATATTTTTATAGACCTACTTTATTACATGATCTGGGACTAATGACATCTATCTATAAGTCCAAGCATACAGTAAATTATTATAATATGAATATGTTTCTTGTTTTAATAACCACATATGATGCTATGCATGAGTCACCATTTATCAGGACAGGAATTGGGTTTACATAGAGAGAATAATGTGCGAAAAATAGATAAGGGGCGGGACCAAACCTATAGATAACATATATAAAATGATGAAATATGAAGAATACGTTGATTGTTTTTTGGTTGCCTTATGTCCAGTGGCAAATATTTCACGCGTGTTTAGGACAAATATAATAGAAATCAAAGGATAAAGAAAAGAGTGAAATGGTAAAAACTAAAAGATATAGAATTATAGAAACGATCTTTGATCTGAACACTCTCCCCCTCCCCTCACACACACACCATAACCATTACTGCCAATACTCGCATATATACATCTCTATACAAATATCTAAATCTGACCCCCCCCCCCCCTAGACACAGAGGTTCTGGATCCGCCGCTGTTAAATGTATCTTATTATATACATTTTGTATGTATCTAGATAATAGCTAAACGTACAATTCTATAATTTGTTGGATACAAATCATTAGAGATTTGAATCTAATTATATTATATACTGTGTCACAAAATACTCTTGTATAACCCCCCCCCTTTCCAAATGCAGTATTGAAAAGTAAATCATTTAAAAGTCCTGAAGAAAAATATGTTTTGAAATATGCCCTGCATACTTATTTATGCAAAGACATATAGTAATTATTGAACTACTGTGGGGCTTGAAAAAAAAATTTATTTAAGGGATTCGGAGATGGGAACAATAAAAAAACCTCAGCAACGAATCCTAAATGTAAAATGATTTGCGGCATATGACATGAGAGCACATATTATAGATAGTCCAAAATATGCAGTTCACGCCTTATACAGGGTACGTCCTATGTCATAGGACTATTGTTGTAACATGGGTTAGTAACTGGTTCCAATTTACCCCGAATTGTCTTTATTAAAGAATTAGTTCCGGAGTATCACAGCTCAGGTCTCTTCTTGTGGGTCTCTGGTTCTGCTGTCGTAATTAGGTGATTTTTTTTCTACATGTAGCAAAAAAGACGGGGCTAGCTGTTTTTTTTTTTTATTTGAATGTGTAGACTGAGTAGAGTAGGGTTTTCATTTGAGGCGTTTTTGCCATGCACGCAGGCATCTCTTTCTATCCATGAATAGGTTGTGTGTCAAATTAATTATTATTACTTGTCAACTTAATAATTATTATTGGTATTAACAGCCAGTGCACGAACTCGCATGAACGCCAAATTTAGTTAGAGAGGCGATATTCCGACACGTTTATTTAATTCTTGGTCACTCATGTTTAGAAAGAAAGTGGAGAAATCCAAACAATTACCGACCAATCACAAACGTTGTTGCAAAATCGACCTTGTGACGTCAAAAAATTTCCCATAATGCAATTATTGCATATAAATAAAAAAACTACTATACCAATTGAATAAAAAATATTGCATTTGAATGACAAATTATACCATTTGAATAAAAAATATTGCATTTAAATGAAAAAATATACCATTCAAATAAAAAATATTGCATTTGAATGACAAATTATACCATTTGAATAAAAAATATTGCATTTAAATGAAAAATTATACCATTCAAATAAAAAAATATTGCATTTAAATGAAGAAATATACCAATTAAATTAAAAATATTGCATATAAATGAAAAAAAATATTTTTTGCAACCAATACCATGCCATAGCATTCATATGTATCCAATTTTTGCCAGGATAAAAATTATAACATAGGTTAATATCAGCAATGTCTTTTACACTTCGAAAATATGTGCTGGTCAAATATTATACTATATATGTTATACCCTTTGAAATATTACTTATAATTGGAATAACGTAACTATGTACAACGAGGTATCAAATAATTACATAAGAGCGTTCCTAATGTGGTAATTGAAAAGTGCTTATGATGCATTTGAAGTAATCATGAAAAGATGTTAGTAGAACGCATTTTTAAACAATTTTCTTCTGTAATGAACCATAATTTAAATATTCTTTTCTAATTTCAGAAAAAGAAGAAAATTCGGAACGTGATGAGAAATTTAAGAAAATGGAAAGTGAGGTTGATGAAATAATTCCAAAGAATATAAGAGGTATATTATTAGTAAATGTATAATGACATTTGATAATTTGACAACAACAAACGACTGCATCATTTGCCATCCCTGGACATGCATTTCGCTTTGTATGTTTGATATTTAGTCAGAACCTCTAAATTATTTTGTCAATTGTGGAATTAAGACATATTTGGTATATTGGATCCTTGAAGTTTACATGGCTGTGAAACTGAGTATATTTGACTTTCACCTAATTGACATCGTTTAGATTTGATTATTAATAATGTAAAGTTTATGTGATACTTGTAGTACACCCCTCTCATTTTCACTCTTGTTCTAATATTAAGTCCAACATTATAGGGTTAAGGAAGAACTAGTAAAGTACATGTACTCTCAGCATATCCCCTGCACAGTCAGATCTCAGAAGGCAAATTATACATCTTTTGTCTGTTTACCCTGACTAATGATACTTGGGACGGTGTGTTGCGTATTGTCATGACCTTTATGTGACATTGACCTTGACGATTATTTTTCATGATCTATATGGCTTTACTTATATAGTACATGTATACAACACCTCAATTCAATGTGTTCAATACTATTGAAAATGATTTCTAACCTTATACAGTTCAACTCAAGGTCAAACAATTTTTTGGAGGAATTACAAAACCATTTGTACATAACTTTGAATGTTTTGACAATAAACTATTGTTTTAACCAAGACAATCTTTTATCTAGATTTTATGAAAACAAGCAGATGAGATATGATGGCCATTTCAATGAGACACATATCCTCATAAGGACACGTTTATGAACATTTACAGGTAACCATCCAGTCTTCAGCAATAAGGTAAACTTGTAAGGTATGATAAGGTATATTTGGATCGACATGTAAATAGTAATTTTCTTAGCTTTAATAAGCTACACTTATATATTCTTCAGAGCTGATAAAAAACCAAATAGAAGACTGGGAAAAGAAAGATAAGATGTTCGTGTCTACAAGAGCTAGTAAATACGTCATGGAACGTTTACAGGACCACAGTTGCTTGACATTAACTGCCCCATCAGGAGTTGGAAAATCATTTATCGCAAGACACGCAGCACTTCTTTTAAAAAAGGAGGGATACAATATAATACCAGTGTACTCACCAACAGACATAAGAACTTATTATCAGCCTGGTAAACAGACAATCTTCGTTGTAGATGATATTTGTGGAAATTTCACTGCCAACCAACAACAGATTGATAACTGGGAGCAACTGTTACCTGTGATTGACAGAGTTATTGCAGACAAATGTTGTAAGATTATTGTATCTTGTAGATTACAGGTCTATAAAGATGATAAGTTTAATATATTGTTACCTTTCAAATCGTGTGAATGTAATTTAATATCAGATAAGTTATGTCTTACATCTGTGGAAAAAATTGTTTTGGCAAAAACATATATTGGTTCATTCTTGGGCGATATTGATAAGTTATCACTAGATAGTGAATTCTTTCCGCTGTTATGCTCTTTATATGATGGTGATAAAAACAAAGATTTGAATGATTTTTTTAAAAATCCATTCAATGTCTATCAGAATGAACTAGACAATTTATGTTGGCATGGTGATGACGGGATCTTGAGAATATGTAGTCTGGCTTTATGTGTTATCTTTAACAATCAGCTAGAAGAAAAATGGTTCAAGGGTAAATTGATTGATGAACAAAAACATATTATAGAAGACATTTGTGATGCCGTTGAAATCAACAGAATTACATCAAAGACAAAACTAAAGAAAGCACTTGATACCCTAGATGGTACATTTATCTGTAATCAAAATGGTTTTTATAAAACTGTACATGATAAACTGTTTGACTTCCTTGCTCATTACTTTGGTCAGAAAATGATTGAATGTTTGATAGATCATGGTGAAAGTGGCTTAGTACATGAACGTTTTATATGGCAAAAATCACCAGATGATAAGAACAGTAACATAGATTTCATAATTGAAATACCAGATGATTATTTAGAATCATATTAAGTTAGGCTAATAAAGGACTGGTCAGCAGGAAAGGGGTCAGATGTGTTCGGTAACACTAATTTGAAAGTATCATTATTCAGACAAAAGTTATTACAGTACTTAAAACAACTACACAAATCGAAACAAGTTACATTAGCCAATACCAAGGATATAGTGAAACCAAAGGAGGACTGTGCATCAGGTAATACTCCACTGGTAGGTTCTTGTTATTATGGTTATACTGATATTGTACAGTGGTTGTTACGTAATGATGTAGATGTGGATCAGTGTAGAGATGATGGGAACACTGGACTGATTTTCGCAAGTCAGAATGGACATACTGATATAGTAAAGCTACTGTTAGAAAAGGATCCTAATGTTGACCTATGTGACAAGGAAGGCTGTAGTCCTCTGTTCATGGCAAGTCAGGAAGGACATACTGCTATAGTGAATTTACTGTTAAAGACGGATTCTCAAATTAATCTATGTAACAAGTATGGTTTTACACCACTGATCATGGCGTGTGGCTTAAACCACACCAATACAGTTAAGCTATTAATGAAACATAAACCAAACATCAATGCCCAGACATATGATGGTGGTAATGCTTTATATTTCAGTGCAGTTAATGGAAACATGGAGATAACAAAGTTACTGTTAGAGAATAATGCTGACTGTAATATCTTTATCATGAGTAAACAGTGTTTAACAAATAAATTTAATAACATTCAAAGGAAAACATTGGACAAAGAAAAACAAGAATTATTTGATAGTCTCGTGAAGAATACATCATCACATGGAACAGATTATGTCAGACAGAAGTCAGTAGATTATGGGTTTGATGTAGTAGCTGGTTCTTCTCCATTACACATAGCCTGTTTTATAGGTAGGATAGATGTAGTTCATTGTCTTCTGGACCACAATGCTAACATCAACATAAAAAAAGAAGATGGCACCACGCCATTATTTTATGCATGTGAAGTAGGACATGAGCATATTGTACATTTATTGTTAGAAAAAGGTGCAGATACACAGATGTGTAGACTTGATGGGGAATCCCCTTTAAAGATTGCAACAGATAATGGACATACATCTATAGTAGTGATGTTATTAAATCACATAATGAATGAGGACTAACTTTCTTCTCAACACTTGTTTTTAAGTCAGTGGTTCTTTGTAACAAGTGAAAAAAATGCATATATTTTATATATACATCTATTCTTTCCATTAAATTGTCTCTACTGTGCTTCCCATTACATGGAATATATCTTGGTTTTTTTACCTGGAACAGAAGAACCTATTTGATTTAGATATACTAAAACTATTCTGGTCATGCCAATAAGTACAAATGAACCGCTTGGTTAACATTGTAATTCTATCATTACTTAGTAGTTATTTTTAATTACTTCATCTTTTTCTAAGGTCACATTTCTTTCTATTTGATGTATTAAAGTCAATAAAAGATTTTGTCATCACCTTGGGTCCATTGTTTCATGTCCATTCTTCGCTTCTTCACTTTTCAAAGAATGATAGAAATTTAAATATAGATAGAACAGTTTTCTAATTTTTGCATTTGTGACCCTGACAGCTAATCTTCATTTTACATATTTCTTGGGTTTATCACCTGGACATATAAAACTACTCTGTGGATGCCAATGAAAACAACTGTACAATTTTCAGTAAACATTGTAATTATATCATTACTTAGTAGTTTTTTTTTATTTTCTTCATTGTTTTCTAAAGTGGCTTTTCTTTCTACTTGATGAGTCATGACAGATCAATTTTTGTCTTATTTAATGCACATATTATTATCAAAGGTTACATATGTTACTGATTGTATGACCTTGTTACATTGTATACAAATATGGACTACCATTTAATTTTTATCGATATGTTGGTTAATGTTTTTCTTTGTATGTGAATTTCTCTATATAATTTTGTGGACATGTCAAACCCTATCTTGTTTGGTTTTGTTGTGATGTTGGGGTACTGTCTAATTACAAGATATGTGGTATTTAAAAGAACTAATTACATTGATATACATTCCATTGTATAATACAGTTATCTATCAAGTCTTTAGATATAAGAAAGATGTGACGATGACATAGACTGTTTATTTGTTTTGCAACAAATTCTTATCATGCTAAAACTAAATGTTGTATCTAAGTTGGTCTAAAAGGCCATGTGAGATCTGTCATCACTTTGGGTCCATTGTCTGATGATCTAGCCGAAAGGCCAAGTGAGATTGTCTCATCAAATTGCGTCCGTTGTCTTCTGGTAACTTTTACAAAAATCTTCTCCTCTGAAACCACTGGGCTAAATTTAACTAAATTTACAACACTCATTATTGATGTATTTAATTAAAACAAAAAATGTTTCCAATGACCCCTCCTTCAAACCTAGATGGCCTGCATGGCTATAAATAGAACATAGGGGTAACATGCAAGTTTTGCTTATTATTTTGAAAACCGCTATAAATTGAGAAATTCTGACGGAGCAAAAATGTTCAAAATGATTGTCCAACTACGTCCAAACTGTTAGATGACTTCTTATAGGAGTTATTGCCCTTAAATGACTTAATTATATCATTTTTAAACAAAATTCTGTATTATTTCGCAAATTATAATAGATACACAGACACTTTAAAAAGCAGAAATTATCAACAATAAAAGATCTACAAATAAGTCAACATAATAAAAACTGTTACTCGACTCCTCATTTTTAAAATTATAATAGATAAATAGAAACTTTTAAAATCAAAAATGATCCGCAAAATAAGATCTACTAATTAGTCAGCATGACCTAAATTGTAAGTCGACTCCTTATTGAAGTTATTGCCGTTTAATGACCATTTGTTTCAATTTTTTCCATTTATCTCATTATTGGAGTTATTGCCCTTTAATGACAATTTTACATTATTTAAAAAAAAAAAAAAAAAATAGATAAATAGAAATTTAGACATAAAGAAAGGAAAATTTCAAGCAGGATAAGATCTTCAAATATTTCAACATGACTAAAATTGTCGTTTAACATGGTAAACTCTTGATACAGTTATTGCCTTTCATAATAATTTTTACTAAAAGGTGGCCACTGTTGAAGATACAGGTGAGCAGCACAGGCATTTTAAAACCTCTTTTTGTCGAGCCTGCGACTTTTGTCGCAAAAGCGAGACAAAGCTATCCTACATTCCTTCGTCGGCGTCGGCGGTGTCCACAAATATTCACTCTGCGGTTAAAGTTTTTGAAATTTAAGTAACTGTCTTAAACTATCCTGCATTTTTAACAAACTTGGACAGAAGCTTGTTTATGATCATAAGATAGTATCCAGAAGTAAATTTTGAAGAAAAAAAAATCCAGTTCATTATTTTTATAATTTAATAATTGCATCATCTATTTACATGCATTTGTATTGATGAATTAAGGGATAAGTCATCAAGAAAGGTAAAAATTATCTTCTTTATCATTTGTTTATTCAATAAATTTATGTTTCAACTGTTTTATAAATCTATAGATTTTATTGCATACTGTATTCATTTTTTACAAGCAGAACTTTTTTTTATACATTTCAAACATTTTATTTCATTAACTGTAAATCTATTATGTGCATTCCCCTATCACACTGAAAACATAGACAACAGCAAAAGTAGGCGAGACACTATCATATTATTTTCATTGTAAAATAGAAATGTATTTTGTTAATTTAATAAGTATCAGAAAAATAAAATCATTTATCAGTATTTTATGTATTTTTATAAAATTATATCAATTTCTGATATTGTCATTTTTGGTTGAAATTGGTTTGAACAATATTTTATGGAAAAATGATAGATTTTGAGAATGCATTCATCATTTTGGATTTGCATTTAAACTGATAGATATAAGAAGATGTGGTATGAGTGCCAATGAGACAACTGATGATAGTACATTATGATAAAATGAGCAATTAACATGATTGAGAAGTTCATCCAACTTTTAATTGAGTTGGCACAAAGTCAACTTGGCTTAATTATAATAATATCATGACAGATGTCTGGGAGTCCAGTTTCCTAGACAGAATATTTCGATCCACAATGAATATTTCACCAAACTTTATAGTTCCATGTTGGAAAAACCCGACTGAATTTAGGATTATTAGCTCAATGTTACAGTGTTTTCAAATATACTGAAAGTTTGGGGAAGTTTTGTTCCAAATGTTATCCATTTGAGGTGTATAAATTGTCTCTGAGTGAAATAGACCTCTATTGATTTTTTAGGTAACTGATATAAAAATAAGGAGATGTTATATGATTGTCAATGAGACTATACCAGAGAGACCAAAAGTGGATAGAAGCTATAGGTCACCATAATGCCTTCAACAATTAGCAAAACCCATATAGTAAGCTGTAAAAGGCTCTGACATGATAAAACGTGTAACATTTCAAACAAGAAAACCAAATGGCCTGATTTATGAACAAGTCCGATTCATAAGTCACAGCAGACTGAAATTGTGACAATATTATTTGTTTCCTGATGCTATCTTTCAATCAAATGTCCTATTTTTACGAAAAATAGCTTGAACATTACCCTAGACACAAACAAGATTATTAACTGTTTGATTAGTAGGTAAAACTTCAGGTTCAGCTAAAAGTAGACTGAGAATTTGGGAAAGGTACTTCAAGACAATATATATATATTGAGTCACGAATAACTTATCTGTGGTGGATAATGTATCTTAGAGAGATAAAAATCCCTTGTAATTTAAGGGTCAAAGATTAATTTTACAGCTGTTGTCAATAGACTGAAATTATTGGTGCAACTGTTTTACTTTCCTGATTAAAATTGCTCTTAAATTAAGAGTTTTACTTGTTAGTTATCAAATCACTTACCCATTGCAAAATCCTTACAAGCATACGTTTTTGAAAACACCAATTGTTAGTAAAGTCTCAGTGTAACTTTCAGATGAAGAACAGTAATAATCCAAATTTGATTGATTTTGTTTGTATCGAGTGGACCTAATGATTATATGTCATAATAACCACCCTTGGTAGTCTAGTGGTAGTGTTATTGCCTTCTAGTGTGGGAGGACGTGATGACGAGCCAAAGCAGATTCAAAGACATAATAATTGGTATTTGCGGTTCTCGGCTATGCATGCAGCACTTAGAAGTAAGAGCTCTAATTGAGAATAATGTGTTTATGTAGGACGATATGTTTCTGTGGATTATAAGCTTGTAAACTAGCACTGATTTCTTACTTGATTTGGCTCTACTTTTCCTGGGTCCTTTTTGTCGAACTTTTTTGTCACGGAAACGAAAAAGCGATCCTACTTTCTGTCGTCAGTGTCGTCAGTCTGTTGTTAAATATGAAAAAGAGAAGATGTATGATTTTCAATGAGACAACTATCCACCAGAGAACACATGACACAGATGTAAGCAACAATAGGTTACTGTACAGCTTTAACAATGAGTAAAACCAGTAAGTTATAAAAGACCCCGATATGACATAATGTAAGAATTCCAACGAGAAAACTAATGACATGATTTATGAACGAAAAACAAACAGGATAGGCAGCAACCAACGACCACTGAATTGCAAGCTCCTGACTCTTGACATGCACATACAGGGTTTATAGATATAAAAAGATGTGATATGAGTACCAATTAGACAACTCTACATCCAAGTCACAATTTGTAAAAGTAAACCATTATAGGTCAAAGTACGGCCTTCAACACGGAACCTTGGTCACACCGAACAGCAAGCTATAACGGGCCCAAAAACAACTAGTGTAAAAACATTCAAACAGGAAAACCAACGGTCTAATCTATAAAAAAACGAGAAACGAGGAACACTTATGAACCACAACAACAAACGACAACCACTGAACATCAAGTTCCTGACTTAGAACAGATGCAAACAAATGCAAACGTTTTAATAGGCGCCATCCTTCACCCTAACCTGAAACAATAGTGTATCATCACAACATAGAAAAATATCAATTGAAATGACTCAATCAAAAGACACACCAACAAAAGCAAGTGAACATATACCGAACAAATGAATTTGATCTATGACACAATGTAAATACAAAATTAATAAAACAAGGGGGTTAGATGTAAAACAATATCAGAAAGACAACCATAATATAGTAGGGAGCTATCAAC